TCCCCGGCGCGCGCGAGGCTTGCCTCAAGGCGATGGCGGCGCACGACGCGTCCGAGCTAGAGTGGCTCACTTGCGTCGGCTGGGACGCGATGATCACCGACGAGGGCCCGACCTTCTTCGAGGGCAACGTGGCCGCGTACCGCACGCCGCGTCGCATGGCCCTCTCGCTCTCGCTCGCAGACGGCTTCCGCAGCTGGATGGCGACGCGCGGGAAGCGGTCGGCAGCCGCGTGAGCTTCTCCCTCTGTCTGTGCCCCCGCCTCTCTCCGCGGCTCGTCGACTCCGCGCGCCCGGGCGGGTGGCCTCGAGGGGGGCGTGAGCACGCCTCTCCAGGGAGGGTGCGGGCAAACCCTGCGGCTGCGCCCTCACCGCTTGCGTGTGTGTGTGTGTGTGTGTGTGTGTGTGTGTGTGTGTGTGTGTGCGAGCCCGCAGGGTGATGACGGTCACACACACGTGACGCGATCAGTTGTGTATGTGCTTGGAGTCCGCGCGGTCAATTGATTGTACAAATGATTTATGTGAGTTCACCCAGCGCGCAATACCTTGCGACAAGTTTGCAAAAAATCTCTCAAGTTTGTGCAAAAAATAAACCTTGCTTTCCGCAGGTGTATTCTTTTTTTGCTTGGCCGGACATCATGATGAAATTCTGCAAAAACCTGGCCGGCCCCCCCCCCCTGCCCTGCCCCTACCTACCTACCTACCTACCTACCTACCCTACTTATGGGAAACTAAAAAAGAAATCATAGGATGGTTGAAGGTGGGGTACCATACCAACTTAAAGTGATGGTTGGTGGTGCTCTCCTGCAACCACAGTCCTTCCTGTGACATGGCAGGCCACTCTCAAGCCCTACAAGCACCAACCAGATCACCCATTTGGGGAGGGTTGACATCGTGATTTGCACGGAAAATTTCTTTTTCTGCTGTGAAAATTCCAGCGTGAAGAGAGGGGAAAACCCGACGGGAGGGCCCAGACCTACCCTACCTACCCCGTCATGATGTCCGGCCAAGAAAAAATAAACTGAGATGCCTTCCGAGTCGTTTCCAAGAACCAGTGCCTGAGCATTTCCCTGAACATTTCCCTGAGCATGCTCCGCTGGTGCCTCTACCTCGCGTGCGCGCTACTTGCGTGCGCGCGAGGAGCGTCCGCTTTCCTTGTTCCGCCGCCACCCATGCCCCTGTCCGTCACGATGCACTTTGCCCAGCCGCATCTTATGCCACCGCCGACGACAGCCATGAGCTCCATCTTCCCCAGCGCCAGCATTTTCCTCGCCGACGGTTAAACGCTGTCACCAGCAAAGGCCAGAATTGAGGCGGCGAAGAAGGCTCAACAGGAGAAGCTGGCAACACGCGGGTATGGGGATCTGCCGTCCACTGCAAAAACGGTCGACGTTTCCAAGGTCACAGGCGCCGCACCTTCTGCCCCACCAAAGAGCTTTGCTGAGCTCCTCGCCGCGTCGGTTGCGCAGCGCGAGTCCCTTTGGGACGCCTTTCCGAGTACGCCATTCTTGAAAAGAAAATCCGTGCAGCCTACCCAGGCTTGACGTAGGTGCACGCCCCCGGCACCGCGGGCTGCTAGCGGCTCAGTGTGTTTGGGAATGTAGTTCCATCCACTCCGAGACGCGAGTCAAAAGATCCCCCGCCGTTTGAGGCTAGTGTTTCGTTGAGACTAACATGGGGACAGTAACATGGGAACAACAATACTGGGTTACCTTTCACACATGCTCTTCCCTCTTTTTTTCTGAGAGTTTTATTTTGTGTCTAATACATCACAATAACCGATCAGCGGTCTCGCGTGGTAAGAGAGAGTACCTGCGAACCCCTCATTCGGCGATCGAGCTCTCGCTCTTCCCCCCCAACACAATTCGGTCCGCCACGCCCTTCGGCAGCCGGCCCTGAGCCACGAGGGAGCGGAGCCGTGCGTAGTAGCGCTGCTCTGCATCGTGCTCCCGAGCGTTGGAGTCCTCCTGCGCCGCCGCCGCCGCCGCCGCCTCCCTCGCCGCCGCTGCCCCAACCCCAGCCGCCACGTACGCCGCCGCCGCCGGTCGGGGCGCCGCCATCGATGGGGCGAGAGAGGCGGGTGCAGGTGGCGCGGCAGGGGCGGAGGCGAAGTGCCACCCCGGCATTGCGGCGCCGACCGGCATCATTCCGTGGGGTGCCTGCTGCCACGCTTGTGGCAGCATCCCTTGGAAGTGGGAGGGATAGGGCCCCGCCACAAACTGCGCCTCGCAGATGGGGAGATACCGGGGCTGCCATGTCATGGTCACGACCGGGGCTGCCATGTCATGGTACTCCGCCGGCACCACGTAGTGCGGCTGCTGCGGCTGCATCGGCAGCTGGGGTGGCTTTGGCGGAATCAGCTGCGGTGGTGGCTGCGGCCCCGTCTGGAAGGCGGATCGCTTCGTAGAGAAGGGGACTGGCTCAGTCCGACCGCCGTGTGTGTTGCGCGTCGGGAGAAGGCCGTGGCGCCGGCAGGCCTGGTCCACCTCTGCCGCCGACCGTGCCTCCACCCCGATCCGCGCCAAATCCTTCTGCTTCTGGCGCACCCAACGGTTGCGGCAAGAGCTCGCAGTCCGGCCGGGGAGCTGCAAGGCGATGCTGTGCCAGCGGAGGCCGTCGAGAACGCCCTGGCTGATGCACTGCACCTCTTGCTCTGTCCAGCAGTCGCCATTCTTGTCGGCATTCTCGCCCAGCTTTTTGAGGCGCAGGACGCGGTTGCGCACAGAGTCGCCCGTGCGTGCCTCGCCCGTGTCCTGGCGAAGCCTCGAGGCGATGCCCTTCCAGCAAGGCCCGAGCGCCTTATAGCTCGCAAGGACCGACCGGTCCGAAGCGGCGTCCCAGCCCACGCGGTCGGCCGACACCTTTCGCTTGCGGCCAGTCACCGCCGGCGCCTCGAACGTGGACTCGTAGCCCGATTCAGCCGTCTGGCGTCTCGCCTCGAACGTGGACTCGTAGTCCGATTCAGCCATATCTGGCGTCTCACCTTATGTTTTCCGTCTGACTCCCTTGAGCGGCGGCGACTCTCGTTGGGGTATGGAATTCATGCGGGATTACACGCCGACTTTCGGCACTTCCTTTCGTATTTATTCTTTTTTCATCCCTGTCATCTTATTGCACTACTAGTACCACACACCTGGCTCCTCTGCGCTAGCTAGGTAGGGCTGCCCTAGGGGCTGCCGGACATGCATGCATGTGTGTTATGCAATGGGTTGATGCAGCACCGCCGCCACGAGGGCGCTCCGCCTCCGCTTCGCCAGGCGCGCCGTGGTGTCCGTCGCCGCGAGCGGCGCCAGCAGCGCCGCCTGCTCCGCCGTCCGCTCCTCTGCCGCCGCCTGCTCCGCCTCTCTGGGCGCCTCCGCACGTTCCTGGTGCTGCACGGCGCGCAGCTCGCCCGCCGCGCGCCTCTCCCTCTTGGTGATCGGACGGCCGTGCGCGAACGGGTCGTCCGCGTCGCCCGCCGCCGCCCGCCTCTCGTGCGGCACGGTGTGCAGCGCCTCCGCCGGCCACGCGAGCCGGATTGCCGCGCCGCGGCCCTCGCCCAGCCGCTGGAATGCTCCGCCGCCTTCGTTCGCCTTGTCAGCCGCTCGGGCCGCCGCCGTCAGCGCCGCGCCCTTGCCGACGAACAGGAGCGGATTCGGCATCGCAAGCCGAAGCGAAGGCGACGTCGTCGGCCATCAACAACTTTGCCTGACGCGCAATCGCCTCCCTTGGCTGACACGCTCGGCGTGCCACCTTCCGCCGGCGCTCGCCTTTCGCCTGACGCACAATCGCGCCACTACCAACATACATATGTAGGAAGGTGAAGAACAGTCAGGCTCGGACTGGACACCAACGCGGTATGGGTGGACGCTGGACAGATGATGACGACACGCACGAGCGACACACAGACACAAACAAGCTCACAAGACACACATGCATGTCCCGGCCGGCTCCATGCCGAGAGGCCGAGTCAGGGGTTGCGAGTCAGTCAGCTCGCTTCTCCTCAACCGACAGCTGCCCCCAGCTCTCGCCTGGAGCTCTCTGGACCTGGCCGGTCCTGGCCCGTCGCCGGGCTCGCCACCATCTCGCGACGGTCCCCACCTCCCCCGCCCGGCCCTTCCGGATTGCGGATAGCTTAGCTCCAGCCGCCGCCGAGGCGGAGCTGAGCTTCCTGGTATCCTGGATGGAATCGGCGCCGGTCCGTGTGGCAACGGCGGGTGGGGATGGCGGCGGCGGACGAGGGGGGTATGGATAGCGGCGGCACGGGTCGCGGCAGCGCCGATGTGGAGGGTGGGCATGGGGTCATGTATGTATGTAGGAAGGTGAAGAACAGTTCGGACTGGACACCAACGCGGTATGGGTGGACGCGAGACAGATGACGACGACACGCTCGAGCGACACACCACACACACAAGCTCACAGGACACACAGCCAGTTGGGCTGCCACACACCCCGAGTGGGCGTAACACATCACTCGGGCCCAGGTCCCCCCCCCCCCGCCCCCCCCCCCCAGCACCCACGTTGCCAAGGGCTCAAACAACAGGACACAAACACAGACAGGCGACAGGGGGTAACGTGTGAGGCTAGAGCACAGACTGCTCCGCCTCTACCGCTCTAGCAATCTCGCCGGCCGCAAGGCACGGACAAGACCGTGTGTGTGGGGTCGTGTGAGGTGTCTATGGACGCCCTCCTCCTCCTCACGGGCGCGGCCAGCCGCTAGCCCTATCTCGCACTCATGGTTGACGATAGTTCATTGGATGAGTGTTCGCGAGCAGATGGATGTGCGTGTGCTGATTCTAGGCCGCAAAGGTAAGGCGTAAGCCGTCGGTCGGCTGCGCCTTGTCTGTCGTGTGAATCGCGCTGCTTTTCCCCTGTGTTAGTCCCAGTGCGCGCCAGTCCCGCCGATGCAAAATTCTTTTTTTCAACCTGGAGACAAATTTTTCAACCTGGACACCACCCCGACGGACGCACGCACACTCACTCGCACGCACAAGCGCGTGTTGGTATAACATAAATGGACACACCCATGGTGCGGTCGGCAAGCGAGCGAGCGTCCTGGTCCGAGCTAGCCTTCCACTTCTCCGTGCTCGGCGTCACCGCCTTTGGCGGCCCGGCGGCCCACATCGGCCTGTTTGCCGACCTGTTTGTGCAGAAGATGGGGTGGATCACGGCGCGATCCGCTGCTTCGGCTCCCTCGCCCGCCATGCGTGCTCTGACCCCGCCCACCCTCGCAGAACCTGCACTTTGCCTCCCTCCTCGCCCTTGGCCAGTGCCTGCCTGGCCCGACCTCGACGCAGATGAGCTTCGCGCTCGGCATGAGCCAGCAGGGTCCGCTCGCCGGCCTTATGACGGGTCTGCTCTTCCTGATGCCCGGCGCCCTCACGATGACCGCCTTTGGGTACGGGGCCAGCTTCCTCGACTCCCTCTCCGTCCCTGGCACGCCGCTGAACTGCGCCGGCGCCGGCCTGTCGGCGGTCGGGGTCGCGATGATCGCGGGCGCCTCGCTCGGCCTGTGCCAAAAGCTGTGCACGGACCGGGTCACGTCGACGATCGCCGGCGTCACGTGCGCCGCGTGCGTCGCGCTGCCGGCCGCGTGGCTCTACCCCGCCGCGCTCGTCGCCGGAGGCGCGCTCACGCTTGCGCTCGCCTCGCTCCCGGCGGGCAGAGGAGGCGCCTCGAGAGAGAGCAAGAGCGAGCTGGCCGAGTCGCTTCGCGCGTCGCTCAGCTCGGCCGACGGCGCGGCGGTGTCGCCCGAGGCGGAGCGCGACGTACCCGAGCCGGCCAAGCAGAACTCGCTCACCGGCATGGGGGAGTCGGGTGGCGTCGGCCGCGTCGCCGGCGCCGGCCTGCTGCTCCCTGTTTGCGCTGGTCGTCGCCGGGAGCGTGGCGGCGCAGGAGCTGCCCGCGGTCAAGGGTTTGGTCGAGTGGGCCGCAGCGCCGCCGCAGTCGCAGCCCCCGCTCAGCCGCAGCTTCCTCGGGCTGCCTGATCTTCCGGCCCTAGGCGGCGGCGGCGAGAGCCGAGCCGAGGGGCCGCCTTCGCCGCCACCGCCCACGCCCGCCGCCACACTCCTCTACCTCTTTTCGCGGCTCGCCATCATCGGCGCGCTGGTCTACGGCGGCGGCCCCATCGTGCTGCCGATGATCCAGCTCTCCCTCGTCGACGAGGCGGGCCTGCTGACCGAGCACCAGTTCCTCGCCGGCCTGGGGGTCTCGCAAGCGATGCCCGGGCCCGCGCTCCAATGCGGCGGGGGTTCCGCAGGCAGGGCAGGTTCTCATACGAGCGGTGTGCATAGGCCAAACTTCAACATTGCGGCCTACCTGGGCGCGCAGGCCGCCACGACCGCCGGCGCCGCGCCGCTGCTCGGCTCGCTCGCCTGCTGGCTCGGCATCTTTACGCCGGGCGTGCTGCTCATCTTTGGCGTGATGCCGTTTGCCGAGGCGGTCTGGGCGGCCTCCTGGTATAAGCGGCTGCTGCCCGGCGTCAACGCTGCGGCGGTCGGCATCATCGGCTCGTCCGTCTTTACCATGTACGCCAAGACGCTCGTCAACTCCCCCTTCCCCGCCTACTCCACCGGCATCGCCATCCTCGGCTTTGTCGGCGTGCGCGTCCTGCAGGTCTTGGCGCCGTTCGTCGTCATCGCAGGCGGCCTCGCTGGATGGGCGCTCCACTATGCGCTGAACGTAGAGGTGGGAGGCACCGCCGAGTCATGAATTTGGCACATCATCGGGAGTTTTCATGGAGGATGGAGGCGCGGACGCCAGACCGTGGTACCACCTTGTCGCGTACCTAAAGTAGAGAAGAGAGAAATCAAGTAGACATGGAAAAGAAAGAGGTATACCTATTGCTTTTGAAAATGGCACATGCACAACATGAACACCGGTAGACGCGTACACTAGACAGCTCACTGAAAACTGCGTGCTTGGGGGACGGGGTCGGGGAAGTTGTGGCCTCTCTCAGCTCTCTCTAACCGGCCGCGCTACTCTCATTCAAGCGTTGTTGATCTCACCACTTAGTACGCCATGGATGAAGGTGATTGTCGGGTCGACAGCTCCGCACCTGGGGTTGACGTCGTGCATTTCTTTGCACCCTCCTTGGGAGTCGGATCGCTGCCACAGCGTCCGACGCGGTGGGTCGCAATCTTGTCGATAAATAGTGCTCCGCCCCGTCAGGGGGGGCGTAGCCGTCGTGCGGCTCGTTCGACACAAGTGTGGGGACGTGGCGTCGAACGTCTTGTCCAAAGTACCTTGCCTCAGTGAACCCTCCTGGGCAGCAGCCATGGCTTTCATCGGGCTCAAGGCACGCGCCAAACGCCTTTTGAGCGTGCACGGTCATGTCGTTGGAAGGAGGCGGGTTCTCATATGCGTAGCACTGGTAGCTTTGCGACTCCAGGAGGGCAGCCCCGACCACCCTCGCACCGGCAGGGCTCCACACCTCATCGAGAGATTGCAGTCACAAAGTCAGCCGGGTAGTAGCGGTCACCGTAAGGACGCTGCGATCGTCAGGACAGCATACTTTGCCAGGAGAGTTGCCAAGATCTTGCCCCCATTGGCAGCCTGCCGTAGCCCAGTGTGTGCACTTTCCAAACATGTCCGTCTTGCGACAGCACTCCAGCTTGCGTTCACTACCAGCGCCGCCGTCGTAGGTCCACCGGGAGGAGCTTCCTCCCATCCTGGTGTATTCACCGGCGTTGCCAGGGTAGAACCAGACCACCAGCGGCGAGCGTCCCGTCGCCAGATCGGCGGGCGCCTCCGGTACTAGCTACAAGTAGGCGCTCCGACTAGTGCCGTCCTCCTCAAACGCCTGTCCGTGTCGCTCGGTTCGGGTTGCCCACCCGTCAGGAGACAGACCTATCAAGCGAGGCGTGAGCCAGGCCGCAAATGTGCTCGATCCGTCCTCCTTTGGCAGGCAGGAGGCTTCGCTGATCCGTCGGTCGTAGAGACCGACCATATGGCCGACTGCACGCTAAAGGCTACACGCTCGCACACCACTTGCAGAGTGTAGTGTGGCTCTCCCGGGCGCTCAGCCCACGGCGGAGGCACGCCAGGCCCCGGGCAGCCGGCCGTCACTCGCCTAAGCGCCTAAGCGGCCTAAGCGGGGGGGTGCTTAGGGTGCTTAGGCGCTTAGGCGGCCCTTGCGAGCGTGGCGGCGTGGTGGTATCGTAATACAAGTGACTCCGATGACACACATGATGCTCTTGCTAGTGTCATTGCTCAGAGAGCAGCCTCACCGCGTCGAAAGTCTACCACTGGCCCTGGTCGCACACCGCCGCTGAGCTGTGATGATGCCCACAGCACCAGCAGCAAAGGCGGGCGGGCCGACCCCGCGGCCATCGCCGCCGCTGCCGCCTCCTCCGCCGCCGGCGCCGCCCCCTCTGCCGTCGCCGTCACCTTGGGCTGCATCACCCGCGCCGCCGCCGCGCACCGGCTCGTGCTCATTCAAAGGCGCCTCGAGTTGCAGGCCAGCGGCGCTGACGTTGTCGTGGTCGGGCTGCCCAACGTCGGCGCGGGAGGGAGGGGGCAACGCCGTTATGAAGAGCGCGAGAGCGAGCGCCGACGGCCCAGATTCTGAGCAGCAGCCCGCCTGGTCATGGGCCACTTGCCTACGTGCGTCCAGCTTCCACTATAGGACGAACGTCGAAGTTTGCTCTCCGACGCCGTGCCG